GTTTCATTATATTATCATTTTGCGTTTTTTCTAATGGAATTATCCTTAATAATTGCGCTTTTTGATTACCAACAAAACTTTCTTTTATTATATTTGTATAGATAAAAAGTGCATGGTTATTTCCAAAAATATCAACAGGATACTTTGCTTTTAAACTTGGTCGTTTTATATTTTTCATGTCAAATCCGAGCATATAACTTAAATAATTATCAAAATTCCAATAGCAGATAAATGATATTTTATTTCCTATAAAAATAAAAATTTTTTTTTGTTAAAATAATCGAAGGTACATTGTTAACAGTAATTTCATAATTTTGATATTTATTTTTTAAAAATTCTTGTAATGAAATTTTATTTAAACCCGAAATTTCTGAACTAATCGCATTATACAAATCAGTAACAGATGGATAATTCCCACTTTAAATAGTGTATTTTTTCAGGTTTAATGTTGCACTAATAACTTTATTTTCTTTAAAATTTTCTTTGATATTCATTTTTAAATAAAAATTAACATCGGGAACATTTATTACGGTTGTTGGGTAAATAATTTCTGCCAACCCACATTCACAATTACTTGGAAAATTAAACGGCACTTTAAAATCTATTTTATATTTAGATAAACTATTGTCCTTATGTAATTCTGACTCGAAATCAGAAGATAAAGTTATTATCATATCGTTATCCATTTATTTTAACTAGTTCGTCACTATAAAAACTACCAATTATAATTTTATTTTTTAAATCCCTTAATATAAATCGAGGATATGGTAAAATATTTAATATTTTATGTATAATAAATATTTCTTTACTGTAATTTGATATATAACCTTTCGTAAAAATATTTTTAATTTTTAATATCCTCACTTTATCACCAATTTTAAAATGGGCAATTTTACTTTTTAAACGATGATTATATAAATTCAAAAATGCTCTATGTTTATTATTTTCACTTATATCAACTGGTTTAAATTTTGTTCTGCTATGAATTGTATTATTATAGTTTTTAACTAATGTTGGTAAAATGTCAATGAATCTATTTGTATTCTTATCAGAAAAATATTTGAAAATTTTTTCCTTTAATGTTCGCATAAATCGTTCTGCCACGGCACTTTTTACTTCGGTATTACGCATTATATAAAGTTTAACATTATTTGATTTTAAGAATTTTTTTAAATATTTATTTTCATATTCTTTACCAGCGTCTGAAATTAGAATATTAGGCTTTCTTTTACTTTTAAATATAATTTTAAAAGCATTTATTATTGTTGAATTTTTTTTATTTTTTAATGGATCAACCCACGAATATTTTGTTAAAATATCGATAACAATTAATAAATAATTAAAATTATCATTATATTTTTTATATTTGCTTAAATCTGCTAGATCGGTTGCCCAAAACCTATCAATTTCACTAGATACAAATTGTGACCTTTTAAAATTAATATTTTTCGGTTTATGTAATGTGTATGTTTTCTGTGATTGCAACCAATTTTTTACTTGTAGTAAGGTTATATTTTTATTTTTTATTTTAGCTTCTTTATATAACTTATAAGGTGTTGAATATGATGCAACATTTTTCACATCATAATAAATATTTTTAAATAAATTATTTTTTAATCGATTTGTCTTTTGACATTTTTTACCGGAATATACGGAGCCCAAGATTTTTTTCCACTATTTAGATCGTCTGAACTAAATTCATTATCATAATATTTTTTAATTTTAGTTTTAGCAGCACTCTTTTGCTTCCTAGTTTTTCTTATTATATTTTTATTGGTGTTTTTTCAGCACTTGATAAACGATTTGTAAAAAACGATTCTCTATTTGGTGTTACAAATAAAGTAGGTTGTGAAACATTTAAAGGAGTTGAACTATCTGATGGTGTAAAAGTTTCATCATTTAAATTAATATTAATTTTATTTTGCTTATTTATTTGATCATTTTTATCTTTAAAATTATTTTGTTTATAATTAATCTTATTTTTATATATTAAAAAATTTCTAAGCACACTTTTATAAATTTCATATTTATCTAGATCATCTAATTTCAAATTTAAAACATTTTGCATATTTTTATCTAGTTCAGTAGCTTTTATTAAATTAGGTGAACTTTCCAACATAGCACTATTTAATAACATTTCTTGATTTGTGTTATTTGATTCAGAATATGGTACTAGCTTCATTTTTTTAAATTCTTTGAGACATTATTTAAATAAGAAGCTAGAACACTTAAAGCAACAGGAATAAGTATTTGCATAAAACCGCCTTTTTGAATTATTAACTTTTTGCGTTTATATATTGGTATACGTTTTGATAATTTTTTTAAAACGAATTTATACTTTTTTAATTTATTAATTTGACACTTTTTTAAACTTAAATTCCCAATTAAACAATTTTTGAAATTTCCGAAATTGCATTAATTACACAGTTTTTTGCTTTATTTAAAATTAACTTCCTCTGTTTAATAGTTTTACAGTTTATTAATTTTTTTAATTCTCTTTTACATTGATCAATTAAATCCATAATAATATTTTAAATATAAACAATTTGATAATCATTATTAAATATTTCAGACCTATATTTTAACACACTTGGTGTTCTTTGACAAATGTCAATTAACAAATAAGAAAATGGGTTTTGTGTTGCATCCGAATAAGCCATGTTCAATTTATAAGATTTAGAATGACCTTCCAATCTGTTAGCCAATAAATTAACCTGCAAAATCTCGTTTGGATTCCTTAATAATACAATATAATTTGCATTTAATGTTATATCTCCCATATATTTAGATTTTGGATATAGATTTTGTGTTATAAAAATAACAGTAATATTAAAATGGTGAGATTTTTTTGTAAACAAATCACTCATTACCGAACTATTTATAACCTTTTGCATATGGTCATCGACAATTAATAAATTATTAATATTTGGATTAAATGTTAAGACAAAGTCATCATTAAAATCTGAGCATGTTTCAAAAGATTTTACATTAATATTATTTTGTAGATTATAGTCGTCACAACAATATACAATTCTTTGAAATTTTATATTAAATAAATAATTTAAATGTTTTATTAAATCTAAAACAAAAGTAGTTTTTCCAGAAGCCGATGGACCACAAATTATCCACCTACTTGGATGTTCAAAACTAGCATCATAATCCTAAATCTGTGACTTTTAATGATATAAGGGTAATTATTATTTTCAATGGATTTCAAATTGGTGATAATTACGAAGTAATGGAAATAGGATATTGGTCGAGAAAATGTAATGGGATGATACCATTTCATACTAATAAAAATTTTAATAAATTGGATAAAATTGAACAATTATGTACGAGATATTATACTGATTTTTATCATGGTATAAAAATTTCTACAAATTTATTAGATTCACTAAGTCAATCTGATATTACTTCAACATTGAAAATGCTTTACCACATATCAGACGATAATACATTGGATCGAAAATATATTGGAAATTTTATCATGGTATAAAAATTTCTACAAATTTATTAGATTCACTAAGTCAATCTGATATTACTTTAACATTGAAAATGCTTTACCACATATCAGACGATAATACATTGGATCGAAAATATATTGGAATTATACACGATAATCCGAGTTTAAAATAATTTGGTTTAGCGGGATTTGGAAATATTATTGTAAACGTTAATAATATATATAAAACACCAATTGCTTCTAATGAAGATATTTTAGAAAGTAAAATTTATGGATCAACGGATTATTCACATTGTATAATGCACAAAAAACTACATGATGGTTCACCACCAATGTGTGCAATGGTTAAAGCTAAATGCATTGCTGATGATTGCGAGCAAAAAGAAAACGATCGTTTTAAAAATAATTAAATATTTAAAATATACATTAAATGATAATAAAAAAGTTATAAAATAAATGTTAAAAAATTATCTTAATAAAATATAAAAATTTGAATTTAATGATTAGATTTTTATTATTATAATTATATTACTTATAATAATTTAATTTAAATATGTTCTGTTGTTTATAATGTTTAATGTAAACTCTAAAGTTAAAAGCCCTTAAATTCAACTTACACATGTTTATTTAAAATTATTTTCAATGATATATAAATAATTTTTATAAATTCTAGAAATCATATACATTACACAACAAATATTAATTAATATAATAATTTATTAAATGAATTTATAAATGATTTATAATTATGTTAATATTTACACAATAATTAGCTTTTTATTTACTTTTAATATTATAATTTATTTATTTATCATGACAATATATTATTCTAGCTTTTGACAGTAAAACTTTAAGTATTGTAATCTGATAAAGGAAAATAACTGCAACAACTTACTTGTGAGACCTGGAGTAGTTAAATATTACATAATCGATAATGTATAGAATTAATACCAAGTTTAAAATAATTTCCTTGTATAATAAAAAAATTACTACACAAAAATCATTAAAATACAAACAATATCTCAAACTGTAATAATAACTTTTAATATTTAATTAAATATTCTTAGCAAGGTTATAATTTAATAACGGCCTACGCGTGAGATGGGAAATTATTTTTTAATCACAAATTATAAAATAAATAAATATAAAACTTATAAGAAACTACAAAGCTGTAATAATTGTTGAATTTAAATATTTAATTATTGCATTATTCGAACATTTATATGCAGGCAGTAGTGTCAATTATTATATTGACCTTGAAACAATGTAATTTTAGCATGTAGTCATATTATAAACAGATAATTTGATTTCATTGATATAATTCGAAATGAATGAGGGTGAAATTAATATAAATAACTATTTTATAAATATAAACATACCTGTTCAACATTCACTCGAATGTTACAAGTTTATTTAGACACACATAATCAGGATCTATTTATTGTTTAATCATTTAATTAATCTATGGCCTAAGACCAGTTTTAAAACAGTTTGTAAATATTTTTCCAAATATATTAATATATAATAAGGTTGACAATTAACAAGCAAATAAATTCATTTTATTGTAATCACTTGATATGAAATTAAAATTTTTAATGAAATAAATATAAATAAAAATAATAGTTAAAACAATTTATTAACACATTTAATGGCAAACAATCGCTGAATATATATATACATCCCGTTCCCCTAATTCACTCCAAAGTGGTCGCCGTTTGCATCGCTGTATACCAACTGTTAGTTTGAGACAAAACACGAAAAATTAATTTCCAATAAAAGTAACAAAAACTCAAATTCACGGCAAAACACATACCGTTCCGCTGAGCCGACCGTCTCGGCCCGGAATATGTTGGAGGGCTGACCCGGATGTGAGAGTTGGACGAGTAGTTTGGCGTCAATGCCGTCGACGGCATCCC